AAATGTGTATTCATTCAAGTGCTATTACGTATACGATGTTTCACACCTAATCACAAATGAAATTATTATTATTATTATTATTATTATTATTATTATTATTATTATTATTATTATTCAATAAACGAATAGTATAACTGATCAGAGAGAACTGTGTTCAAAAGATTAATAGGAACTATGGGGAACAGATTCTCTGACAACTGAAAAGCATAAAGGGGACCATTTCGGTTAACAGAATAAGAACATCATAATTCCCTTATTATATGTAAATACAATACTACACAAAAAGGTCATTAAATGACAGAGAAGCATAAACACTGAACTTTCAAAACACGGAAAGGATTACAGGAATATTTTAAAGAATGAAACAAAAAAATTCCGGAACAGAAAAACGCAAAACAGGAAGCGCGCCATTAGCGATCACCGAAGTCGGGGAGCAGCGGGAGGGCCCACGACAGACGGTCCGGGCGCAACGGGTGGCGCGGTGGCGCGGCTGGCGCTTGGCGCGCGTGGCGGGTGCGCATCGCCATAATTATCGGGGCGCCCCGCGGGAGTCGGGCTATCAGCAGCGATCGCAGATAAGGCTCGTGGCGCGCCCCCGCTCGGCAGCGTTAATTGTCTTGGCTCCGCGTGTCAAACCCAAAGCGGCGGCGGCGGCGGCGGCGACCGCGGCGGGGGAGGGGGCGGGGCTGCGGAGACGCAGGCAGCGCCCCTTGCGGCGCGCCCCCCAGCGATACGATCTGCTTGTCCCCCGCCCCCACAGCCGCCGGGGCACACGTGCGCATCGATCGTGGCGGTATCACTCATGGTAATGGGCTCGGCAATTTTCTGCGTGGTAACATAATTCTCCTAATTCACTTATTCCAATGGTCGTTACTTTAATCTCACTCCGATTTTTGCGTGATAGTTCTCCCTTTAATTTCTTTTTGATGGAGCTTTTTTGACCAGTTTATTGTCACAATATTGACTTGTGTAGTATAATTAATTTACACACTCACCTGTTTGCAAGCTCAATGCACATATTTGTATGCCAGGGGATACATATTTGGTGAAATTTAGGTGAATTAACGTTTTACAAATTTCATTACCTACTCTGAAAAATGTCTCGTGTGCTTAATTAGAAGTTTCAAAAATATTAATTACGGCTATGCTTAAATTAACACGTGAAATTAAAAGTCAGATATTGGCGTATTTTCTACAACAACAAATGCGAAACACCTAAGTCGCTTCCTTTCAACAATGTGGTGGTGAATTCTGCAATATAAGCTCTTACAGTTTAATAAGATATTATTATAGCAGTCGTTTACGCTGGCTGAATTATAGTATCGAGAAAGCTATGTGAACATTACGGCGTTGCTGTCAATAGCCCATTCGGATCTCCTGCACCTAACAGTAACGAGCGTTGCAATTCCGAGAGCCTCCCCATGGAAGGCGCTGTCTCCGCGCAGTCGTAACGACCCGCGCCGCCCCCGCGCCGCCCCCGCGCCGCCCCCGGGGCTTCCGCCTCGCGCTCCCCCGCGTCGCGACCTCCGGCGCGCGGGCTATCACGGACGAGTAACTGGCAATACTCGGCGCCCATTTTTTCCTCCCGCCGCGCAGTCTGGTGGTAAACACGCTAATTACAAGCGCCGGGTAATTAATTCAGAGCGCTAATTAATCTAGCGGAGGGCGCGTGCACGTGGCAGGCGGGCGGGGGCGGGTGCGCCCTCGCGCTGCTCTGGAGAGCGCGGCCGGGCAACACCCACCACGGAGGCGGGGGCTGGCTTTTTCACATTCTGCTACTGGCAGAGGGTGCACTTGGTAATGTACTGCAAGTTAGTTTATGATCTACGAGGATCGAACTCGACGATCTCGAGGGGATGGAACTGTTTAAGCGGACTCGTAATTGTTGGGAAGGAAAACGTGACGTGTTGTTTTGTTCGACCACTGTAGGGGAAGCGGGAAATGAACATCTTTAAAAGCCGAGACTAGATTAGAGAAATTAAATTAAAAGGTATTTGGAAACAATCAATCCATTTTAAAAGTTCACAAATATTAAAAAAAATACGCTAAAAAAAATTTACGTCCTTACACGTCTCTAAACCCTTCTTGGCCATTGAGCCTGCATAGTTTGCACATATCAGAAGTAAACCTCCCTTTACTTTTTGTATTTTGTATCGACACGTCGTTGTCAGTAAGTGTATGTAATCCCTTCGTTCACGTTGACCACATATTAACTGAACTTACTACTGGTGTATTTAGAAATATCAATTTACTTTCGCTAAAACTTCCTCAAATATTCAAGCTCAAAGACTACTCAATTCAATACTACATCTTAGTTTTTGTCATAAAAGCCTTCCTAAATATTATTGTATTTCTTTTTTGGTTAATAACTGCCAAAACCTGCGAACTCAACTAGTTGAATGATGAGAGAAATGTATTATACACTCATAAAAATTAACTGCAAAGTCCTTCTCTTTTTGTTGTAGGGCGGGTTATGCGACTCTCATGCGCCTTATCTCAAACTTCGGCGTTGTGAACACATTCCTATCTAAACAGAAAATATTAGAAGTGAAATGAAGAAAGTGTAGCGACCTGACCTGCAAGTTTTTCCCCATATCAGGAAACAGCAATGATCACCATAAGTAAATAACTCTATGTATAAATGTTAAAAGCCTGTTTCCAAGTAGCTTCCTACACTTACAGGAGAAGGTCCGAATACTGAGTAGGGTCTAAAACAGTTTCTGTTGTGAAGCACTCCACCGGGAATGGCGTGAAACTAATCGCCTCGGTCCACCTGAAGAGCGACGAGCAGTTGGTGCCCATCAGTCAACGCGTTCAGAAGCTGTGCGTAAAAAAATTATCGATTGTCGTTTTTTTCATCGTCAAACTTTTAGCAGGTATGAACAATATTGTTTTTCGCCATTAGCCAGTTGGCTGTAAATGTTATTTGGCGGCAGGGCTGTGTTAACATTGAATTGGCGACCGGTTTCAATACCTGATTTAACTTTCTACTTCATACCAGTAATGGCCGCCATGATTGGTTTGTAAAAGGGGATATGTTCTAAATATGGGCTAGTGAGGCTAGCCACCCTTGGATGACCCCAACTTTGAGGGACCACAACCCTTCAACAAGATGATGTTTCCTGCCTGTATTGGCAACGGTTTTGCCGAAGACAGAAATCGTGATAGTTGGGTACAGTGTGTTACATGACATGGGTGGGCACACACAATTTGCTGTTTCCGAGAGAGATGTGTATACATGTAATTTTTTGTAAATGAATTTACTATTTTGTGCTTTAATAGTACTATTTGTATGTTAATTTTACTGTCATTACTTTTTTCATCACATTTTTCGAAAACAAAGGTAACCCATATTTGTACCCCAATTTCAATATGTGACAGTTTGCAATGATTTTGTAATTAAAAAAAATTTATGAAACTGTGATTTTTGAAATTTTGAAACTTCACAGCATTGAAGGACATAAGTGAAAGCTACCGCTCAAACCTTAAATTACCCCAGATGTCCAAAAATGTGCCAACTACATTCAAAAATCAAAAGCTATCCCATATTTGGACTTCCTCCTCTAACAATGAATCTTCGTTTGTAGTAGCGTAAGTTAGAAGAAAGGCAAACGAGGCACTTGTTCGATAATAGTAAGAAATAAATTAGATGATAATGTAAATAGACCGAATGTACTGACCACTACTTCACAAAACTGAGTAATACCTTAACTTCATTCTCAATTATTCCTTGAATTCTCTGTCATAATGCCATTGCGTCCTGCTCTCTCACCGACACGCACGGGATATGCATGCGTAGTCAGGGAAGGGTTGGTTGCACTTTCCAGCTGAGATCCTGTTACAACAAGAGCCCCTTTATCTTGACCTCAACCCCCCCCCTCCTGCGAGACCGTGTACCTATCCTTACAGGTCGGGTGTCTTCGAACAAAGACCTGCGCTTACATGCTGCAACGTCCTACGTGCAGCCGGCGACTCTGCGCTTTGGAGTGGGATGACCATTTTAGCGTGGCAACGGCTTCACGTTGGGCGAAAGACACCTTCAGGGCCTTAGCATGCCTATAGGAAATTAATGTTCTCTACGAGCTAACCACATATTTACTCCATATGTTCTTATTTTATTAGGACGTTTTCGTGCAACTCTGCCATTTCTTGGCTAAGCAAACACAGCATTTGCTAATTCCTTCCTCAAAACCAATAAAACTTCCATTCCAATTTTTTGCACATATAGTAAATCTTTTTACTGTAACATTTAATTTGTCAGGAAAGTTCCATTTAGGTAGGTGTTTATGGTGAAAAAATATACTTCCGAGAAGCATCTTGAAAATTTTGAACCTCTCGATTTTTTTGTACAGTAGTTAAAACGCCAGATTTATACCTATAACATTTGTTCCAACCTGGACTTTTTTTAAACAATTACTTACTTGTTTACTTTTTTTGTAGCGGTGCACGAAAATTGCATTTTGTTGAAAGAGAACAAATGGTATAGTAATTCCGGCAGGTTTCAAAAAAATACTTTGAACCACTAAAACACTTTTATAATTTTAGTAGGTATCTAAAACGTGTGTATATCTTCTGTTACTAGTTCGCCTTCCCGATTATTAAAATAACATCATCGGACACGCCATTCTTTCGCTCAGTGTTTAGCAAACACAATAAACAACTTATACGTGATCTGGGCTGTCCGGGTGACGCCTCGTCGAAGGCTGTGTTGCCGACTTTTCGACAATCTTGTCGTGGCCTTCCTCAGGGCTGGTTGAGGAAGACCACAACAAGATGGCCGAAACGTCGGCAACACAGCCTTCGACGCGGCGCTCCACCGGACAGCCAGATCACGCACATGACTCTGGCCGCGGCAGCCTACGACTTCATAATAAACAACTTAATGTTTTGTTTGTTTGTCAGCGCAAGAGCATACTCCACGTTCCAAGTGGCGGCGCCGCCGCCGGGCGCGCCGAGGCGGGGACGGCGTTGGCGGCGGGGCCGGCGGTGCGGAGCGCTCACCGCCGGCTGCTTCTCGTGCAGCTGCGACGCGATCACGTCCTGGAAGGTGGGCTGGCGCTGGAGCTGCGCGGCGTACGCCATGCGGAACGCATTGCCCACGATCGAGTTCAGCTCCTCGGCCTGCGCACGCGCAAAGGGACATCCGTCAGACGGCAGTCACACCCTTGGGAAAGCAAACAATCTCCCACACATTTCCATTTGTGGGACACTCAATTCTATTGACGCGTTTTATTTCTTGATGATTTTATTCCGTTGCATGGGCACTTTACTTATCACGATCATTTATTAGGCAGGAAAGGGGATAGTTCTCACTATTAATATGTCTGGCCACGTTTGACCACACATTACGATAGCAATAAAACAACTTGTTTACATTTAATGGTAGTGAAATGTTGTCAAGATATCCATATGAATGGGTCCGTCCTGTCACCTGGTTAAAATATTGCTATTCAACCTCCTTTTTGACGAGCCCCTTAGAGTGAATGAGTTGAATAAAAGTAAATGTGTGTACATGTATATTTGTGGTACATACACATGTATATATACATGTGTGCATCACAAAATTTGTTGTTGAACAATTAGACTGTTTGCTCGACCGGGTGGAAGTAATTTCGTGTATATCTCACTCCGCTCCCCGCCGCTCCGCTTCGCCCCTCCCCTCTCTCCCGCCTTCCTCTCCCGTGACACTCTTCCCGCCAAGCCTCATCCCTACTGTCCCACTCTGCTCCCTTAACCCTGTCCCTCCTCTCCCCACTATCTTCCCACCCAGTCTCGTCCTGCCTCGCTCCGCCCCGTCTGGCCCGCGCCCTGCCCAGTATCTTTCTACAACGCTCCAACGCAACTCCTCAACACATTAAAGCAATACGGGAGCCATTATACCAAATATTGCAAGGAGCCTACTCGGGTGCCGCATATTGAATAACTACCCGGTCGAATTTAGGAAAAAATACTCTATTTGTTCAACAAATTGTATCAATGTCATATACACGTGTGTATGTACTACAAATATACATATAATCATATAGACACCTTTTCTTTTATTTCACTCACTCTAAGAGGCTCTTCAAGAATGAGGTCAGCTACTACGGTTCATAGGTAAGTCCAACGCCAGATACTGAAAGAACACATTTAAACAAAGCTGAGCATGAAAGAAATGAAGTATGAAAGAAATTTTCTACACATGAAACTATTTTGAGAACACTTTACATTTTGCTAGTGTCAAGATAATGAAGTGGAGCTATGCATATGAATTAGTTTCGTTTTAATGTACTTGTTTTAGACATCACAATATTTCTCTTTGATCAACCCCACAAAAACTTAAACATCCTTGTCAAAACAATAAACATTAGAACTGATATTAAAAGAGATTAGTAATCTGAACGCCTGAATGTATATTTTAATAGGCGTGTCTACACAAAGGAGCATGAGCTGTCATGCCCTCGTATTTTATGATGCAGTGCACTATTTAATCCGTAATTATTTTAATGGCATATTTTAACTCTAAAACTTTTATGTATAGAAACAATAATAAAAATGTATTTACGAAATTACAAAATTTAATCCCAATTTAGAGCCTAACATAACACATTTGGTGGTATTCACGTTGTTTTTAAAACATTAAATTTTCATAAATTAATGAAATATAATGCCACAAAGGATAAAAAATATTACATTAAAACATAAAAAAAACAATATTATTATTTTCTAACTAGTTTTATTTCTTCGCTAGCATGAAAGTTTCCTATCTTACTGAGAGCATTCAGGCTACGAAAGAATTCTCACGAAGAAATTCTAGAATGTTCGGAGTGAGTAGGGCAGAAATATTGAGAAATACACTCCCCGGAAATATCAGAGGCAATTCCACTAGAAAGGGCAAACAGCGCCTCCCTCGCGCCGGTGGGATGAAATGCTCTTCACGCTGACGCGATTGAAAAAGAACCCACACGATCGTAAATAAATCCATTAGCGGCGCATTAACTGACAGGAGAACAGTCTCCATCGACGCTTCCGTGCTGCTGAACCAGTTCTCACGACTGCGCCAGTTGAAAAAGTGCACGCAGCTGCGGAGCTTAACATCGAGCAACGAGGATTGCACGCGAAGTGGACCTCGATTCCTCAATAAATAAATTGCCGAACGCACCCATACATCGCTGCCAAATGCTAGAGTTTGATGGATGCCGGCGTCGGATTCAATCAAAGTCCAAAGCGAAAAACAAAAACATTCGCGCGAGCGCCGCCAGGTTGGCTGCGCTTGTCCGCCCGCAAGGAGGTGCGGGTACGTGCGTGTTTTAATGAACGGCAAAAAGACAATGTTGACGCACGTGATTTCGCGACGTGATGAAAAAAGGAGATGGGGTGCAAAAAACTGAAGAAAATTCCAAACGAGCGAGGGAAAGAACTACAAGTGTATCCGGTACGTTCATGAAAAATGTTATTGGCATAATGACTAAAGCTCAAATAGGCAAGCAAAGCGACATTTATTTTTACTAAAATAGGCGTGCTAGAAAGCATTTATTCTACATAAAATAAGGGAGTGAGAAGGCATGATCAATGAGCATTAAAAAACAATACGAAGTCGAATTAATTTGGAAAGGCATCGAAGACTCTACCCATGTGTGAGGCGGGTAGTAGAAAGTAGATAAAGTAGAGAAAGTAAATGTCAATGACAGAAATCCAAGAATCTTGACTCGTCTCGCTATCTCGCAGCGGTGTTTAACACTTTCTGATCATAGAACCTGAGACCAACTCATCCTGTCTGATATCGAGCCCCCGCTAGCAGAGAAGACACAACGCATCAGTATCCATGTAATACAAGTACACGTATAGCCATGTATTACAGACGGCCAGGTTTCCTATTTGACCGAGATCGATGCCAGGAGAAAAAGGGGAAAATAACTAAACAAGGAAGAAAAATGTCAAAATACGGGAAAATACCTAAAAGAGGCACCAGGAGCTCAACAAGTTAAAATACGGAAAAATGAAAATCTGAAATACTCGTAACTCCAGTTGCACAGCTAAGTAATCCCTCAAGAGGCTTAAAAAATAGTAACCGAAGTAGGAATGCACTTTGCCAAGCTCCCAGACTCCATTAATAACTAATAAAGGGAAAAAATGAAAACGTGCATGTACCAGAGAGCCGATAGCAGGTGGTTCGAGCTAGGAAGAGCGGCAGCGGACGAAGCTGTCTGTTTACGCCGGCACTGGCGAAGGCAGGGAGGACGACGAGAGGGGGTGAGAGGTGAGGGGTGAGCGTGAGGCGGCGGCGGGGCGCGAGGTGACGTACAATCCGTCAGCGGCCGACGCCAATTTATCACTTCACCCAAATTGATACTTCCCGCGCGCGTCGGTGCGATAAAGGAATCAGATTCGATCCTCCTCCCAGTGTGGGGGCGGAGAAGAGGGCAGAAAGCGGCGTGCCGGGAGTAGGCAGCAGGGGGGGGGAAGATGTGGATACAGAGTACATGATGACAGATTGTGTATGTAGGAATTGTGGACAAAGCAGGGAGTGTCAGGGAATTTTCTAATTACGTTGTTTTGGATCGTTAGAGAATTTTGGTAGTGGTTAAAAAAGAAACTTCGCTCATGTTCATGCTCATGTTCATGTTCATGTTCATACTCATGTTCATACTCATACTCATGCTCATACTCATGCTCATACTCATGCTCATACTCATGCTCATACTCATGCTCATACTCATGCTCATGTTTATGCTCTCGAAAACGGAGCGGCGCGACGCGATTTACTATTAAAATCTGTCATATGTAAGTAAAAAAGAATGGAAAAAGGGACCCAGTAATGCAGTTGGACCACGTACTTATGTTCGACTGCGCACGTCTACGACGAGAGAATAGCAGTTGTCTGATTTGGTGAATGGGTAGTTGGGGGAAGTGGAATACGACAGCTAAACTGACAAATGAAATAAGCAAAGTCTCAAATCGAAAAAAAAGAAAATATTACGGCGCAGATGTACAAGCCCGGTGACTGCAGTGGTGTGCTGAAAGCATTATAACCAGAAGGTGTTGGCGGTGCAGCGTTTGTCAGGATGAACAATTTTGGAATTTTTTTCAGCAACTGGGATTGTATTGGTCATGGTCTTAATTGCAATGACGATGTAGTATTGTGGTAAAGTATGGAGCAAAAAAAATATGTGTGAGAAGAAGCCAATGTTTAGCGTAATTACTGCAGTGACGTGGTTGAGCAGGGTGACAATGTGAAGCTTGCGGAGAATGATGGTAAAGAAACCGAATATGAATGCAAAAATCAAATGCGATTTTAAGTGCCAGTTTGTGATTCAATGAATGCACAACGGTGCTCGAAGGTGAGAAAGAGGGCGTGCCTGTCATTCGAAGAAGTACAACAACGTGTTTGATGCGTTAGACACAAAGGCGCGAGAAAAGGAGGTCGTAATGGAGATCCGCCTTCGACTGACCTTCCATTAGCTTCATTAAACCTGGTTGTAGAACAACTTGGATTTAGTTACGCACGGATTTTCAAGTCGGTTTTAACAACTTGAGTAATTGATATTTTCGGGTACGTTAACTTCTATGGTTTTGGTCCCGTTAGTGTAGTGCATGTTTAACCCACGGAGGCGGCGGTGTTTTTCGTCTGTGGAAGAGAGAGATCAGGAGCCGATAGATAGATAGATAGATAGATATAGAGTGCTTGATTTATTGCTGTTGCCAGGCAGGTGAAATGCTAAGGTTATTGCTCTAGTAAGTAGCGGTGATCTTTCCACACTGGATGGCGAGATCCGGCGCCGACCTATACGTGAGCGTGCAGATTTTCCTCAACCACGTATCTCCCGTATGGTAATGCATGTAACTGCGTTTGCGCACAGAGTTACATGCGCTACCAGACAGAAGGGGAGAGGATTGGAGAAGAAAAAGGAAGGAAAAGATCGCCCACGGTCCGGGACAAGTTTCTTAGAATACTGTTACGACATTCGGCTGAAATTCAACGGAGAAACCACGGGAAAATATCGATTAGAGCAACCGGTCGCTAGAATGTTCCTCCAGAGAGCGGCTAAACTCGGTTTAGCTATCCAGCTAGTGTCGAAAATCCGCCACGTCGATTCTCGAACCTATTAATCACTGCAGTGTTAGCAGGAATGCTGGTTCTG